CAAATTAATCAATACCTGATTGACTAGTTTAAACCTTTTTGCTCATGTTTTACGGGGTTTCTTCAGGATGATCAAGGTTGATTACCGCAGCTCATCCTATGGTCCACTGCTGTTTTGAAGTTCGAAGTCAACGGTGTGCTTTTGGCCCATGCGCTCATGCTTCTGGCTAAGTAGTACTAAGTTTAGTTAGTATTCGTAGCAGACAAGCATCACTGACTCAGAGGCTTTAATTCTTTACCCAGTCAGAGTACTGTGAAAAAAAGTTCAACCGGAGCAAAGGATACGATGTTTACACATCTTGGAGAAACGTTCTCAATCCCGTTGTCGAAAAACTATTTAGCCAACAGCGTGGGTGAAAAGCAGACCGTTGATTTCAATATGTAGAGTCCATAGAACCAACTGTGATAATCAATCTGGGCTGCCCTACTGAAGACCAACGAAAGACGTACCGAAACATCGGTATCAGTCAATCATCGGATTAATCACTTTGCTTGGGATGTATATAAATATACTTTTTTATAAATTTTTTCCATATAATTATCAATGAACGAATAAAAGAATAAATTTTCCCATCTGTTCGCTGCGCATTCGTAGCTGACCGTGTGTTACACTCTTCCTTAGTTCTGGTAGTTGGGTGAGCAGAGCAAAGCAATATGCAGCTGCAATTCTAAATGGTTCGTAAATAATTGTACTGGTTACATTGCCCATCATCAGCTACGTTTCAGATGCCGGTGCTCTTTCTGTGCTATCATGAAACAGCCAAAAAGTTTGATTCGCACCGCCAAAATGTGCCAGCAAGGACGATTTCCCTGCTCAATAGATTTCGTATGAACGACGCATTTAATGTTCCTGGTGCTCGAATACCGTGTAGTCGTTGATTGCTTAAATCTCTACCGCTGCGACCCATCCCGGGAAACTTGGAACCAGCGAGTTTTAATCCGGAAGAATAATGTGTAGTGATAATGTTGCAATTATCTAATTACATTTATGATAATCTTTTGCCGTTGCTAACACTTTGAAAATATTATATCAGTAGTTAGTTTATTCAGAAGTAAATAAATCTAGCATTTATTCACCGTTTCTTAACTAGCGTTTATGTGGTATTTCGGTATAAGGATAAATACAGGGTAATTAACTGTAAGTCATTATGGTAATCAATTAATTGGTTTGTTCAATGAACTGTGTTTTATTTTCATAAGTCAGTCAGTTTCGATGCCAGGTGATTCCTGGCTTTCGTTGAGATCTTTGATCTGTTTCGCCTTTCTTTTTCGAAGTGTTGACAAAATATGTCCAAGCAATCGCAGATGTATCTTCTCAATGTGAACAAGCACCTATTGTACCGCAATGCTTTCTCAGATGTTGCAAGTCCTGACTCTGTCGCGAGGCGTGAACCAAGCGATTTCGTTTCAGATTGTTCATTTCAGCCGCTTATGCCCGAGATCGATGTTTTTCAGTCATTGCCCACGACTTGACTGTAGGGATGAGCATCGGATGATGATCGACTTGAACACCAACAGCTTTGTCTTCCGATTCTGCTCTGCCGTAGTCACAATGGTTCGGGTTAGTTCACGAAGAGCATCGTTGGCCTTCGCGATTCGTCGATAATCGTAATCATGATTATTAAATAATTGGCTTTATGACAGGCATAGGTGGCCTCCAAGATCTGGTCTTATGATAAACATAGTTTGAACACTTGATGTTAATGCGCTGCCTCATGCTAATAGAGGTAAATTATTCCGCCCACCGCAGCATGGTCTGAGCACCTGCAGTGCGCTGATTTTATTGCCTGGTACAATAGCTCACAGTTACTTAAGTTTTCATAACTATTTGAAGTAGTAGCATTTTTCTGTTTTGAACGTGCTGTGCAACTTTATGGCTAGGGTTTGAGGTCGTCGTTTACGCACTAAGGTTTGGTCGTACTGATTATTCTTCTGTCCATGTTTTAGATTCGAATACGATAGATTTGACATTTGCAGAGCCACCTGAGCCCTCCGTCGTTTCTGAAGTCATGGGAACAACTACAGAGGACACCTTTGCTAACCGCGATCTCCATGCCCTCGAAAGCCAACGAGTAAAAGTAAAAAAATATAGAAGACTATGCATTACCAGAAGGTATCTATGAATATAATGATAGTATGTAAATCAGTTCTATGGAATCGACGATTATTAACGTAGGAGCTATTGATGGATTAGTTGTTTATTTGAATGGAATGTCTTGTTCATAGCACTGGCAGTATTCATTGCAACGACAGAGCAGATAACTCCCAATGGCACTGTTCCAATACGCTTCAATAATTGCGCTGATATTCGAATCTTTTGCGCAGGTCTTCATATTGTTCATAATAAATAGCTTTAACTTTTTCCAGGAAGTGCTTCGCTCTGATGCCTGGATCACTGATTACTGTTATGACCCGAAACACAACCGTTGGTGTAAAGCCAGTCTAAGAGTGAGTTGTAAAGTGGTTCAGGTGTTTGCGAGTCGGTTATTGCTTCATTGTTTATCTTTTTTTAGATACCGATATTTTACGGAATGGTCGACATTCGATTCATAGTGAAAGAAGAAATACAAAGGTTGGACATCCAGTCGGTTCCGAACGTCGAGCGATGCATCCTCAGCGAGAACGCTGACAAGACCTTGATTCTACAGGCTGAAGGCATCAACCTCGAAGTGCAGTTTTTGTTTCTCAGTTTTGTTCATACACCAGCGATAATTACTGACCCATGTGCTTTATTCCAGGCGTTGATCGATCACCCTGATTTACTTGACGTTAACAAGATCTATTGCAACGATATTCATAAGATTGAAAAGATGTATGGCATTGAAGCAGCCGTCAGAGCTTTGATGAAGGTCGGTACAACTGATTGTAGTACGATGCACATAATTTTCTGATTACGGTATATAGGAAACGAAAATGGTTTTCAGCAGCTATGGCATTAATGTTGATTACCGTCATTTGTCATTGCTGTCGGACTACATGACGCATACCGGCAAGTACGAAGCGTTCAACCGAAAGTATATGGGGCTGTCGTCGTCGCCGTTGCAGAAAATGACCTTTGAAACTACCACAAGCTTCCTGAAGGATTCACTGCTCTTAGGTACCGCTTCCGCGTCAATTTTCATTTTATAAGCTGCACTGTCATAAACCTGCATAACATGCTGTAGTTCGTTTGTGCAGTAAAAGATTTTTCAATTAATATATGCAAGCCCAAAATAATTTCTGCTGCTAAAGTTCTCGACGAATGAGGATTTACTCGCTCATATTCAGTTTGCTATTTTATATGGTTGCGAAAACAGCAGCTTCGTGTTTGTGCTAAAATAGTTCCACTGTTTCGTATACTCGTAATTGCTTTATAAATACTGTAAAAAGAACGTATTTCTAGACCAAAAGGACTTCATTGGAACGCCCTCTGCTTCGCTGGTGACCGGTGAACTTGCCAAATGTGGAACTGGATGCTTTGATGTTATGTTCCCAATAAAGTGAGTTAAAGGCTTTGAAAGAAAACGAAAACTCGTCTTGATTACTGCGCCCCGTTACCTGTTATTAACAGCAATAACATGTCTGTCTTCTCTGGTATTGGTCAACATTAATTGATCCAAACTTTGACACTGAAATAAATTAAATACCTAAATACAGATCGGTTAATCGCGCTTATATCAGTCGAATCTTTACCGCTCATCGGGACCAGGTCATACGATCAAAATGCGTCTTTAACATCAGTAAAAGACCCTGTCCGTATTCGTGACTCTAGGAACTGTATGACCTACATTATGTGATACAAACGATCGATCAGCGTTTTACACCATTTTTACAGAGTTGCTCTATCCTACGTAATGGCACGGGTTGCACTAGTCTGCCAAGATGCTCAAATACCACGGAAATATGGTCTACGTAAATGTCCTGTCTACAAGATAACGAGAAATGGGGTGATGGTACACAATCAAATTCTATTAAGCGAATTAAGCCCTATCACGCACAGCACCATAAAGAATGATACATCGCCCCATCCACTAAAACAGGTTAGAAATATTTTGTACAGCAGTATTTAAACTGCAATAAATTCTGCGTCATAGGCATAAACGATATATGTACTTGGCACTGTTGAGGTTGCGTTCAGTATTTCAGTGAACATATATATTGTAATTAATCACTTTAATTCGTAAGTTAGTTTTTCTCTAATTGTATCGGTGAGGCGACCTGAGTAGTATCACACGAATTTCCTTTTTATAGCAGCGATCACTTATCAGAAATCCTATGCACGATAGTTCATTGTACATGTACTGTGGTGTATTGGCACAATGTCTGAGAGGTTTGCTTCAAACTACGGAGAAGCCGGTTCGATTTCGAATCTTTGTCTTATTCACGAATTCTATTGAGCAAAGAATTTGCTACACATTACCTCAGACCGGGATTGTTCAATCGGTAAGGCATCGAGCTCAGAAGCGATCGATCCTGAGTTCTAAGCCCAGGCCAAGTTCGCCTTCCGAGGTTCAGAAATGAGTACCGCTATGTACAAGGGAAACAAGAGACCACACGCTACGCTTGCCACATGGCTGTAGACTCCGCCATTAAATACAGCATTCCTCACTAATGGCAGAGAAAAGGCAATCGGCACCGCAGCATCAACTTCGTGAAAAAAATACGCCAAAATGGTCATCATGAGCGTGAAGGAAGAGGGACGTTCCAATGGTGACAAACTTTCTTTCCTTTTTACTCCACTTTAAATTAGATACATCGTTACCGTAATCCATTTTCATGGAAAAATGTTATTCGTGACAGCTACCCCAGAACATTGGTATTACATTTTATCTTATATAAAACTATAAGTTTGTTAGCAAACCAATAAATCCGGGTTATGTTTGTTATATTTAATCTTTATTTGTCTGTACATTATTGCCTATGGAGAATGACCGTCGGTGCTCGAACGTACCTTTATTTAGCGGAACTCTGAGATATGGTTTTGCATGCAGCGGGCGCTTAAGTGCCACTAAGCCTCGAGCTGCTTAAATTGCGGTGAGATTTTGCCGTGTAAATGCGGAATCAGTTATTAAGATGTAATATTTGCCAGCTGAATTGGAAAGCTGTTATTTGTTGTACCATAGGGGGTATATTTTATTTTATGCTGTCTTTAGTTCATTAGAATTCTTCAACTTCGTCTGAGTTAACGACTCTCGGCCTGAACAGCTACTTAAGGCGTCCTGTGATTTCAGTGAGTTTTTTATTGCTTCTAAAGGCGGCAAATGTGAACAATTTTATTATGGTGTTTTTTCATGCTGAATCACCTTGGCAAATAATAGTTATGCTTTTATGTGAATAACTTAAATATTGCTTAAAAATTAAATAATGCTCAGAAAGTAATTATTCAGAAGTTCGGAAAGTTAAAAGCAGCCAGTTTCTCCTTCAGCTCATTGGACCATAAAACTGTATTCAATAATCCAGCTGTAGTATTTGAGTTAGTATTTTTACATATTTCAGTTTTAAACTTTATTATTTATGGTTAATTTGCATAAACATTGTTGATGAACGCTGAAATAAAACGTTTTTGAAGATATTGTTTTTCTCTCATCGTGCAGGGCTATGATCGCGACTGCATCATATTTAATTCATTATCAATCATTTTATTTCCTTGTTAAGTACAAATACATGCATCTCTGTCTTCATAGTGGTGCTAAATCGAGAGCTTCATCGTATCATAATCTGTATCGTAAACCTTGCATCAAAGTTGTCAATGTGGGAGTTTTCTGACCGAGTTACAAGAGGCTCGTGTTTGAAACCTGGTCAAGAAATGGAACGTATTCCTAAGCTGTCGGCTGAGTCCGGTCCACACTTGCCGTAAGTATTCGTATCTGACCAATATCGCGGCGAACATGTGAAATTCCAGAGAAACAGTAAGGAATCGCAACTTGTCTAACACCCACTGGCGTTGTTAAACAGTCTCACTTCGATGACACATTTCTGTTGGCATCTAATGGATGGTTGATGGAACAAACCATGCTTTATTTTGCATTTTCAGCACCTCGTATCCGATACTGGTGGTACTCGGCTGTAGACTGCGCGCAAACAGTTCGAGGCAGTTGAAATCTTTCGGCAACCACGGTTGTAAAATTTCGCGTAACGGTGGTTTTCGAGACGGCACGGCAGATGGCACGCTGATGATCAGGCGTTCTTTCGGCAGTTCTCTTAAACTTGGACTGCCTACTTTTTTCACAGCAATAAGCAATGTTTCGAAAGGTTTTTTTGATTCGTCTCCTCCAAACTCACACACAGGTCGTCCACTTCGAGTGACCTAATTATTAGCGAGGCGTTAGCGATGCTTTTGACTCCGGAGTAAAACGAGGCCAAGCGAATAAGGTTAATCAATTCATGTTCATAGCTCACGATGCTAATGCTAAAATATAGGGGAGCCGTGGGTTTTCTTAATGACGGCTTTGTAACAAGAACGGTCCAGTTTGCCTGAAACTGTGGTT